CCTGGAGCCATGTTTCTCAAAATATAATCCCAGAATAACCATCAAAATCACCTGGCATGTGAAATAGAATTTGAATTTCTAAGAGGTAGTTCCTAGAAATAAAGTTTTAATCTCTTAAGGCAATTCTTCTTGAAGTAAAAAACAAAATACCTGAACTGTTTATTTTATTATCTAGAATAAATGTCATCACTGATTAATCTTTTAATTTATAGATACTGAGGTATTTGCATGTGAACTGAGTAAGATAAGGAGGCCTTTTGAAAAGATACCGTAGTGCTTACGGGGCACGAGTTCTTTAGTTGGAGTCCAGCTCTGCTACTTCTTACAGACTTAAGCCAGTGAGCCAGTGATTTGTAACCTGAGCATTTCCTCATTTAAAGACAAGTGGAATGAGGATAACAGTATGTACTGAATGTTGGCTGTTATTTTATGAGAGATCTTATTTTCTTGTCCTCTATCTCGGGGAGAGTCCATTGTATAAGGATCCAGGTAAATAGTTGTTTGACTTGAGTTCTGATAGGGATGGTGGAAGGGTCTTTTCATGCAAATTAGTACATTTGCTGCTGTCAGAAAATGAGAAGTAGAAATCATTACAAGTTTTTCTTTAGTGATTATAAAATGCAATCCAATTCATTTCTGTATTGTTGGAGTTAGAAATATGAGATGTGAAAACATTTGCTTTAATACTATTCTGTGACGCTGGGAATAAAGTACGTGGTACATCTTTGATGGGAACAGAATTCTTACATCCTCTTTTCTAAATTTCTTTTCAGGGTTTGGAGAACATTGATTAAGGAAGCATTTTCCTGATTGATAAAAAAATAACTCATTTGTGGTCATCTAACACTGCTGGAAGTTTAAGCGGTGTATTATGTAGCATGCAGTTCAGTGTGTTACGTAATAATAAAAACAAAGTGAAAAAGCAAAAGGCTTTTCTTTCTTTAAAATATACAACATCAGGCAATCTAACCAATATAGCTTTATTACTTAAAAAAACTAGAAGACAACCAAAACTTGGTAAAATTATAGGCAAAAAATATATACCAAGTGCCTATCTCCATGCCTGCCACTTCATAAACTATTATAATCACCATCGTAGGAAAAAGGATGGATCCTGAGGCTGTATGTTAAGTGAAATAAATCAGACACAGAAGGTTAAAAATTGCATGGTTTCTTTTATATGAGAAACCCAAAATATAAATAATTTAAATAGTAAACCAAAGGAAAGTTGATAGGAAACACTTGGAGATGGGGAAAGGGATCTGGTAAAGGGGGTAGAGGGGAGAATAGGGAGGGAAAGGAATAAAAATTGATCAAGATACCAATTCCCCAAAATGTATGTAATTATTATGTATCACAGAAATATAGTAATACAGTGAAAAGGGAAAAAAAGAGACTACCTAAAATTTCCTGAGAGGTTGCTAGGAAAATACAGGAAAAAAAGTGTTTTTCCCAGTTCCTTTTCTGGGTGGGTCTTACAGTATTTAAAATCCCAGCTAGGGTGCTGAGGGTGTACCTCAGTAGTAAAATATTGCCTAGCATATACAATATGTGTTCCGTTCCCCATATGCCAAAAACAGTTCCAGTTAGGACACTTTTAATATGGAGATTGCATTTTCAAGTTTCATGTATTCTGTGTGGTATCTAATACAGTACAGTATATGCTTAAGCATTGATTTAAAAAAATTTTTTTTTGGTACCAGGTACTGAACTCAGGACCTTGGGCTTGTGAGGCAGGCACAGTGCCACTTAGCTAAATCCCCAGCCCAAGCATTAATTTTTGCTTTAGGATAGAACAGCATGAGCAATCATTTGGTTTATTACAATGAGTGTACTGTCAGGTTCAGTAGCACATGCCTCCAATCCCACCTACTCAGGAGGGTGAGGCAGAAGGATTGAAAGTTTGAGGCCAGTTTGGGCCTATCTCAAAACAAAACGGCTGGGATGTAGCTCAGTGGTAGGGCAGCGCCCCGGGTTTAATCCCTAGTTTGCGAAGAAATGATCATTTGAAATAGAGTTATATGTTTAACATTAAAGGTAAGTAACGGAGATCTGAGGTCTACTGTGAAAATGCTGCTATCTTAGGGCTGGGGATATGACTCAAGCGGTAGAGCATCTGCTGCATGTAAGAGGCCGTGGGTTCAATCCCCAGTACCACCAAATTAAAAAAAAAAATATGCGGGCTGGAGATTTAGCTCAGTGGTTTCACCGCCTGCTGCGCAAGCACAAGGACCCGAGTTCAATCCCTGGTACCAAAAAAAAAAAAATGATGCTACTGTGTGTATACAGCAACACTATAGGTGACATCAGGAACCCAGGGTGAGAACACAAAATTGTATTTTTTCTCTTGGTCTAGGGCCCTTGCCCTTGCTAGGCAAGTGTTCTACCCCTGAGTTACATCCCTAGCCTGCTAAATTGTACATCTTGGTTCTTACTTTTTTCCCCATTCCCCTTGTACATTTTGACCTTTATCCATTCTAACGTGATCTAATGGTGATCTTAAACACCCCCACCCCCACGTGTGATTTCTACTAACCTCATTTTACAAGGCAGGGTTTATAGAAGAAGGAGGTAGCGTTCATATTTAGAGTAAATCTAGATTGTGCTACCCTGTGAAAGTGTGGCAGTGACGTTTTATTGAAGGAAAGCCCTCCTTGTGATTACAAATTTAATAGAACACTAGTCAGTGCCTCACAGAGCTGGTAGTACAGATAGGGAGTTGTGGATATAGACAACTGACAACATTACAAAATCTACCACTAAATTGTTCATTTTTAGGTTTGCTATTTCTCCACTTTAGTGGGGAATCCACTAAATTTATCATCTTAGGGGCAACAAAATGACAAGTGAAGGGTGGTCAGGTGGTCAGACTGAGTGTTCTGCTCTTTTTTTTATGGCAAAATATACATTTATTAAAATAAAGGGCTCTGTGACTCAAACCCATAAAAGATACTGCTGCAATAAATGTCCACGAACGGAAACAGTAGATACACAAGTACAAAGCCATGCTGACGGCACCTAACCCATGTTCTGATCTGTTCTGCTTTGCTCAGGCTTTCCTTCTCCAAGACTGGGAATTTTTCATGTCCTCTTAACAGTAACTTAAACTACTAGTATCAGTGAAAAGAAGTATTAACATATCAACAACAGATAATCCAAAGTTTGACATGGGATTATTTGTTTTTTGCAATACTCTGGAAATGAGTAATGCTAAAATTAATTTATAGTCCCTGAATCGTTCATTACAGGGTGGCAATAAATTAAAAAATTACCTGAAGGATATGGAACAAAACAATGTGGACAATACTTTTTCCAAACATTTTCACGGGCTGATGTAACTTTATATTCAGACAGAGAAACCAAACATAACACAAAACTCTCATATGCTAGCTTTTAGTTTTAAAAGAATTTCTTAAACCTGATACAGTGGGATACATTTTTAAAATAAAAGTACAAAAAAATTCTGGAAGGATTGTCAGCTAAAATGTAATCAATGAGGTTATATTCCTTTTTGCTTCTTTGAATCCTCTAACGTTTTTGTATAATTTTTTAAAAACCTTATGCAGAGCCGGGGATTCAGCTCAGTGGTTTCGCTGCCTGCTGCGCAAGCGCAAGGACCCAAGTTCGATCCCCAGTACCAAAAAAAACCCAAACAAACCTTATGCAAATTCTTTTTGTGTTCCTCTTTTCCACTAATTTTATCAGTATACAGCCAGTTATCTAGGGTCTTGGGCAACTGGTGACACTAATTTTATTTCCTGGGTTTTATTTCAAACTATCGTTAAACTTCTAAGTAATTTTGTTAAAGACATTTCCAAGAGTTAAAATATGACCTTTGACAAACTTTAGATGAAAACCATGCCCCCAAAACCAACTGTTTTACAAGTATGTCTTCAGGTTAGACAGTGAATATGCAGCATAAGACAAACTACAGCTCTTACCTTTCAATTTCCTACTTTGACAAGAACTATCAAATTCCTTTTTCTTTTTTTTTTTTTTGGTACTGGCGATCGAACTCAGGTCCTTCCGCTTGCTCAAAGTCCTTTTTTAAGGAGTACACATGCTTTTAATTTGGCAATTCCATATTCAGTGAAAATAACTCAGATTTTTAGTTACTGTGGAATTTTGAAAATCCTGGCAATTTTGAAGCTGAATTTTATTATCTAACAAAAGGCAAATAAAATCGTAAGATTTCAAATGTTTAAGCTGTTAAAAATGGGAATACATTTCAACCAAGAGCATATGATCTTAAAAAACTAGTACTGCTATCTAGTCATAGGAGTTTCTCATTACATTTCTGCAGTCCCTAAATGTTCAGAATAAATGTAACATTCACATAGTACAGACCACGAAAAGAATGTATTCTTTTATTGGTTTTTGTTCATTTTGTTTCAGCTTTCAATAATAAAACTTAATAAATTTGATTCCATAATCATAAAAATTTGCTGTACATATTATTTACATGTTGCCAAAGTCTACAGTCATACAAAACATCACAAGGATCGAACTGATTCTATGCATGGTTCCATCACACAGGAGGGAGCTGATTAATGTACATTCAAAGACCAAATTATTGATATGCACAGTGTATTTGGCACTGTTCATTAATATTAAACATCTGCTCAGAGACAGGCATTCTTCAGCCTTTGTCACAATAGACTATACCTCGCTATTCACATTAAAACCAGCCTTTTGACTTTACAGCACTAACCCATCAGCTTTAAGAAGCAAACCACAACTTGAATTGCAAATAGAATTCAAATCCTCCCTTCTTGCTCTGCTCCATCCATGCAGAGGGCTCGATTTGGTGATTTTTCCATTGTGGGGAAAGTCAAGAAGAAACAATTTAAAGACAACGCCTTCGATACACATAAAGACATACGCTTTTCTTTACAGTGATCAATTCTGACCTCTGACGACGGAGAGGTTTTGAGGATTTTGCCAAGAATTATAGAACAAGCAATGCTGTTCAAATCGTAGACTGCTCTAGCAGGCGCACCAGGTGAGAAAGTTCTGGAAAGGCTCTACGTGAACTTGTCTCGAGTCTCTTCTTAGACTACAGCAGATCGAGAAATGGACTACAGCTTAATTTTGACAAACATACAGTATAATCAATCTGTCCAACATGACCACATCCAGGTCCTCGGGCCTGTGCTGCTGCCGGGCCAGCAGCCAGCAGAAGTCCTGAGCAGCTTTCCCATCCTCTGGGGACAGCACCTTACCTGCCAAGTGGCAATTTAAAACTTGATCATCTTTGTCATTACTATTTGCAAACTTTGATGAGTATTTGGAACAATCCAGGCTCAGAAGTCCCTGCTGTTGTTTTAAAATTTCATCCATCAGTCTGGAATTATTTCTTTTGAAAATACCTCGGTGGTCGTACACGCTGATATACGAGATGCCCACCGCCATGGTCCACACCACCAAGCTCGCCACGTCCGGCAGGCTGCGCTTGTCCTCGGCCAGCACCAGCCCCACGTGCACCGGCAGCTTCCGCAGCGCGCGGCCATCAGAGCGCCAGCACAGCCGGGCCAGGCCGGCGGAGCCCGCGCGGGCCCTAGCGGGGTGGCGCCAGGGACTTGCGCCGCACGAAGCCGAGTGGCGCTAGGACCACGGCGGCGGTGGCGCGGCGGTGGCGCGGCAGCGGCGCCTCCAGGCCAAGGACCAGGCGCCAAAGCGGGCACGCTGCCCTGCGGACGGGACGGCGCGCGGTGCAGGCACAGCAGTGCGTGCAGCCGCCGCCAAGCCAGCTCGTTCGGGCCCGTCTAGCTCGCTCCGCACCGGGCGCCCGCTACCCCCCCTCTCGCCGCGGCGGGCCATCTTCACTCCGCGTCCGCCCGAGGCACTCCCGCCGCCAACCCGTTCTGCTCTTTTTTGAAGCATCTCCTGTGAAATCGACCTTTATTTGTATATTCTACTGTCAGGGAACAAACCAGATTAAAACATGTGGGAGGCTAGATGGTTAGATTTCACTTGATTCAAGTGCAATTAGGAACGTTTTCTTACAGCCATTTTGACAGCTGTGGTCTGAACAGTGACATGGGACCCATCTGTCACCTGCGCTTCCGGGGCCTGTTGAAATGCTGCATGAGAAATGATGCCATTAGATTGGTTTTATTAACCGTGCTTAGTTTTTAAAATAAATGCCATATTCACATAGCTCAAAACCCAACAACATAAGGGATGTGGTGAAAAGACATGTTTTTTTTGTTTGTTTGTTTGTTTCTGGTACGGGGAATCGAACTCAGGACTTAATCCTGTGCAGCACTCCCCACACTATGAAACAAAGGTTCGGGGATGGCAAGCAATCATTTAGTGACAAAATTGCAGCTAGATTTCTGGTGTTTTGGCTCACAAATGGGTGAACTTTTAACTGTTCTCTGAGGTTCACTTCAATAAACCCTGGCTTAGGGCTGGGGATTTAGCTCAGTGGTGCCGCACCTGCCTGCCAAGCACAAGGTCCTGAGTTCGATCCCTGGTTCCACAAAAAATATAAATAAATAAATAAACAAACAAACAAACCTTGGCTCAAAGCCAAGCATAATCCTGAAAGCCACCTGTAATCCTGACACTCTAGGAGGCTGAGGCAGGAGGATCACAAAGTCAAGCCCAGTCTGGGCAACTTAGTGACTTAGCGAGATCTTGTCTCAAAAGAATCTTTAAAAAGGCTGGGGATGTAGCTCAGTGCAAAGGCCAGCTTTAATTCCCGGTACCACTGCTTGAGTAAATGCTACAGGCCAGGCATTGTGGCTCAGATTTGAATGACACAACCCTGCTCTCTAGGAGATCACAGTCAGGGGAGTAACTGCCATGGAGCCACAGAGGTGGGGCTTGGCCTAGCCTTGGGATGAGGGGACAGGAAAGGCTTAGGGTAAGCTTCAGGTGACATCTACACTAAGCTAAGTTTTGGTGGCTGGATGAGGTTTAGAAGACAACTGGAGGAGGACATTCCTAGCTTAGGGAAGAGCATGAAGGTGGGAACAGCAACTACCATGGCTGCAGAACTAGAGCAAAGAGTACAAAGCAGGGAGAAAAGAACTGGGAGGTTGGCAGGGCCGGCAACAGGAAGGGCCTGGCCTTCCTCTGCACAGTAGTATGCAGGGCAGTGGTGTGGTGATTTGCACATCTACCTGGCTGCTCAGCACAGGGGAGATTTGAAGCAGTGCTTCTCAACAGGACCATTTTGCCCCTCAGGGCTCAAAAAGCATTCTTCTGCCTTGTCACAACGGGAGGGGTTGCTGACTTTAATGGGTGCAAGCCAGAGGCCATGCTTCTAAACATCCTACAATGATCACCTGCCCCTCTTGCCCCCATGACAAAGTTTCCAATAGCTCCCTTCCCCCAGATGTGGAGCCACAGCTCTGTGAAGAGCTTCATGTCAGGAGGGCCCAGCACCTGTGCCTTGTGTGACCTTCAGCAGGTCATGCCACTGATCTGAGCATGAATTTATGCATGTGATGAAGAGGGAGGGGACCATTGATGGTGTGCACTCCCATAACCGTTCCCCAGCCCACCCAAGTCCCCTGAAGGCACTTACATAAATGTGATGTTCACAGGTCCCCAAGGCCTGGTCTCTGGTTCCCTGTTAGCGTGGACACAGCTAGGGAATCTCAGTGCTGCAAAGAAAATAGACAGTAGGAACTTCAATGGAGAGACTATTCTGAAGGCATTTTCTGAAAGCAGAATTTGTTTTAAATGTGGTTTAAGCTGGGCATGCTGGTGCACACCTGTAATCCCAGCACTCGGGAGATTGAAGCTGGAGGACCACTGGAAATTCTAGGCCAGCTTGGGCTACATAGTGAGATCTTGTCTTAAGATAAAACAAAACAACACACACACACACACACAAACACACACACACACACACAATATACTTTAATGCCATTGGTTTTAATGCCTGGTTTTCCTTCTTAGCTCTTGCTACTTGCTCTGTTCTAAGGGAAAAAGCAGTGAGGATGGGTTTGAAACCAGCCATCCTCACCAGAAGCTTTTAGATGAGGGTAAGGGGTAGAGGTGAGAGTGAAACATCACTTGGTTTTTGAGACTCCAAATCACTCAGATATTTTGGGGAACTAAGAAATCAAATTATTCTACTGTACTTTTATAGAAAGAAGACTCATGGAACAATTATAGGCCTTTGTCTATACCAAGTAGGTAGAAGCAAATTGTGGATAACCAATGAGAAGGACATCAGCGTATTGGTCTGGGTCGTGTGTGTCTATGTGAGGCTACCTCACCCCCGTACACCCTCTTGACCAATTTCATCTCTGATGTTTACATACTATGGAATATTCTTTTGGGGTATGCTCTTCCTTTGCTTTCCAAGGGAAGCTGGAGCAGACCTTTGTGACCCACAGCACACTGGGAATGAAAATATTCTTATAAATTTCACATTTTGATGATTTTTGTTGTTGGTGGTGGTTTTTTATTTATTTATTTTTTTCAGTGCTGGGGATGGGGACATGCAGAGCCTCATATGTGCTAGGGAGGTGTTACATCCCAGCCCTTTACATTTTTTAAAAAATTTTGAGACAAGGTCTTACTGAGTTACCCAGGATGGCCTCAAACTTGTGGACCCCCCTCCCCCCGCCTCAGCCTCCTGAGTTGTAGGGAACAGAGAAAGGAGACGTTACTAGATCCTCTGCAGTAAGTCCTAGTCTCCTGTGAGCCAGGGCAGCACAAGGCGAATTAATTAATATGTAGACAGAAAAGATAGGAGAAATGAGACTTAGAGAAGAAGCTAAGCTTTGGGCCTAATGAGTGCTGCTCTGGGCGGCAAAGACCAAAGCCCCTGAGCTTGCCACACCTTTATTCCGTACATCAGGAGAAACAAATGTAACCGATGACTCAGGGCAGAGAGTTCAGTACTTTGGGAGAGTAACAAATGTAAAAGGTGAGTCAAAGGGCAGCAGCAGCAGCCCAGCAAAAATCCTAGAACAATGAGGAACTATGAGGATGAAGATTTTGTTCCTCCCAGGATGTCTTCAGCTGGTGTAATCATGTCCTGGAGCATCACAGCGTCACTGGATCATTGAGGTTTTAGGTGTGACCAGAGGTGAAGATGGAGTTATGTCTCCACATGCTGACATGCTGTAGCTGGCCTCTCGGCAGGAAAACTAGGCCCTAATCATGATTTAATTGTGAAATGATTTTCCCCCAAATTATGTAGAATTGCTCCCGACACCGAGTAGCTGGGATTATAGCTGTGTGCCATCACACTGAGTTGTGAGGCATTTTTGATAAAAGGGCGAAGGAAATTACTGTAAAGAATAGATCCTACGCTATGTTTGCATCTTTGTTTTTTCTTTTTGCGGTAGTTGAGATGGAACTCATGACTTGTACATCCTAGGCAAGCACTCTACCACTGAGGAACACCCCTAACTCTGCATGACCTTTAATGGTTAAGGGTTTCTTTGACATATGTGTGTATCCTCCGTGTCTCATGCTGTTGGCTGTAATATACCTTCCTTCACCCCAAAGACTCTTCTGTAATGAAGATCCAAATAATTGCTTTTGGAATTTTCATAAAACTTGATTCAAGATTAGAGACATATTGTCAGGCCTGGTGGTGCATGCCTGTAATCCCAGCAGTCGGGAGGCTGAGGCAGGAGAATCACTGCAAGTTTAAGGCCAGCCTGGGCTATATAGTGAGTTCAAGAACAGCCTGAACTGCATAGCAAGACCCTGTCTCAAAAAAAAAAAAAAAAAGATTAGAGACATACTTGTTCTTTTGAGAGCATCATTATGAAAATGGGCCAGCAGTTGTAACTTGCATAAAAATATGTAAGTGTTTCTTTATTAGTCTGAACCATTTTGTACCATCTTTTGATTTGTTTCTTATTAGATACTTTCCACATTCCAGAAAACTGAAGAGACCAATTATATCTGGGCTAGTGAGTGACCAAGTAATAAAATTTACAAACAAGTATGCAGTTTTGATTATGACCCCAAAGAAATATAATCCCAAAGACCACAGAAAAACGGTAAAGAAGACGTTGGAAACAGTGAACATCACTGCCCCCAAGAAAACACAAGCATTTTCCAAGTGTGTAAGTTTCTTTGGTATACTGTGCCTTCCCCCCCGTGTGCCACCTGCCTTCGGCTGGAGACCGGCTTTCACCTCCAAGAACTTAATATGTGGGGTGGAGTTGGTAAGGTCTGGGGTGGGGTGGGGGACTTAGGAGTTCCCGTCCCACACGTACAAGAGGAAGGGCGATGTCATAATAACACACACACACACACACACACACACACACACACACACACACCCCGCCCACACTAGGGACTGAACTCACAGACGGTGCACTGAGCTGTATCCCTGACCCTTTTTAAAACATTTTTTTATTTTCACACAGGGTCTCACTAAGTCTCTAAATTGCCTAGGAGGGGCTTGAACTTGTGATCCCCTGCCTCAGCCTCCCAGAATGCTGGGAATACGGGTTTGCACCACCTGGCCAGCTTGCCACAGCACTTTTGTTCTGAGCAAGGGCCTGTGCAGTGAGACACTCATGCTCCAGCATGGCTGGAATGTTCCCAGAGGTCTCTGTGGTGTTGTGACTCTCGGGGATCCACCCAACTGGGCCTGGCCAGCACAGTATCTGGTCTGTGGGCTTCACTGTTGCAGGATGAACATGTGCTTGGGAAAGGCCCTGGGCTCCTTCCTCCTCCCCTCCCTTCCCAGGGTAGTCTGGTGACCTTAGACTTGAAGCAACATCACTCAGATTCACTTGTTTAGGTCCTACCCAAATCCAACATGCATTGTGTTTTGAGTCAGGAAGCATTTCACTGTACCCTCCTTAGCTTGCTAGTTATCTTTTCATGTGTGCACACTTTCTCTGTGAGTCACACAGAGTGGAAACTGTGACTTAGTCAGCTTTGAAGCTCCATCATCCCTGTCGCTGCACACTTTACAGGTACGTACTGTGTACATACTGGCTGGTGGGGCTCCCTGGACCAGAAGGCCAGTGAGCCTAACTGAAGCCAGGCATCCTCATTAGTACCCGTTGCCCTGGGGCTTGTGCGCTTGCTGAGGACAATGTCCCTGTGAATCCTCCTGGCCTGACTGCTGGGCACTGACCCTAAGGAAAGCTCAGGACACATGCTTCCAGCCTCAGGCAGTGGCAGGCTCCTCTGATGTTTGATTCTGTGGTCTCCTCCTCCTCATGATCGAGGTAATCAGTGTTTGTTAAGCATGTACAATATGCCTATCCTGTTCTGAGTGCTCCATATGAATCGCCTCATCTTGTCTCCTTATTAACACCATGAATTAAGATCACCACTGTAAAAAAAAAAAAAATCCCCGTTGAACACAGGGGCTCGGAGGTGGAGGGCTCTGCTTGAATTCTCAGGGCCAGCATGTGGCAGAGCTGGGATTTAAATCCCTCTGCCTGTGGAGCCTGCATTGCCTGTGTTCACAGTCTGTGTTCTTCCTGTGGAGCTACACAGTCTCCCACACTGTCCCCTTGCCACCCCTCACTCACCAGCCTGAAGGCCGCATCTTAGCTGCGCCAGTTCTATACATGGTGTCAGGTGTCTTCCAGGCAGCGAGCTCCACAGTTCTTGTGGAGAGAGAGGGCACTTGGAAACTTCTGTTCCTTTGCTGGGGTTGAGATCAATTGTCTCACAGTAAGCCACCACTCCATACACACAGCATGGTTCAGGGCAGGGGTTCTTAAGACTTGGGAATCTCATGGACTAATAAAATGGTCCTGACCTACAGTGATCAACTTTTCATTTCACTGGTTAAAACCATTGATGGGCCGGGAATTTAGCTCAGTGGCACTGTGCCTGCCTTGCAAGTGCAAGGTCCTGAGTTCAATCCCTGGTACCAAAAAAATAATAAATATTTAAAATAAAAATAAATAAAACCATTGAAAAATAATACCATTGACTTTAATAATAATAATACCAAGAATAATATTTAACCATTATACAGAGAGTTCAGGCATTGTTCTGAGTCTTCACATGAATTATATGACTTGATCCTCATTTAAAAAAAAAAAAAACAAAAAAAAACCTATTCTACGCTGAGCGTAACCCCAGAACTCTGGGAGGCTGAGGGAAGCAGATCACAAGTTTGAGCCCAGACTGGGAAATTTAGTGACATAGAAAGATCCTGTCTCAAAAAAAAAAAAAAGGCTGGGGATGTAGCTCAGTGTGAAAGTCTTGGGTTCAATCCCCACTACCACAAAAAGAAACAAATAAAAAACATCCTATTCTAGGACTGAGGGCAAAGCTCATAGCTCAGTGGTAGAGCACTTGCCTAGGATGTGTGAGGCCCTGGTTCAAGCCACAGTGCGTCAACAAAAAACAAACCCCAAAGCTCTATACTTTAAGATTTATCATTAACCCCATTTTATAGATGAGAAAACTGAAAAAGAAGTGTTAAGCAAAAATTTCCCAAGTCTGTGCTGATAACCACTACAGTATATGCACTGTCATCCTTGATTCACAAAAGACATCTCTGAAAACAGTCAAGCACACAAGAAGGGTCCTGCTTCAGAACTTGGAAATGAAAAGTAAAAGCTAAGTCAACAAAGTCAGACAGCTATGGGTTTGAGTTTGAGGCAACTTACTTAACATTCTCTGTGCCTTAGTTTGTTCGACTGTAATATGAGAGTGGTGATACCTACCTCACAGTGCTATTGTGAAGAGTAAATGGCTTAACACAGTGACTGGCACAGCATCGTAATGCCCAATGCACACCAGCATGCTAGTCCTCCTGGCACAGGCCCGCAAACCCATCTGCTGTGAAGAAGCTGGGTATGGCTCCCACCGCTTAGTCCTGTTACTGAGGTCAGATGGTTACTGTGACTAGCCTTCCCCCTTCCCCCTGCCCTCCCCTGCCCTCCCCTGCCCCTCTCTCTCTCTCCTCTCTCTCTCTGGAATCGAACTTGGGACCTTGCACTTGCGAGGCAGGCTACGGAACCACTGAGCTAAATCCCTGAGACTTTGACTCTTTTATTAACAGAAGCAGTTAAGAACATGTGGGCTTTGTTTCCCATTGGTTGAAACTGCTGTTGTCCTGGCAATATTTGTAAACATTCTGTCTGGCAATCTTGGAAAAAGGCTGCTGAGTGACTCCAAGGCTTTGTCAGCTACCGCGGCTAGTATTTCAAACAAGAATCTCTTCACTCAGGTATCAGGGTTCCTTAAGGGTCGGGGAGTCCACAAAAGGGACCTGCAGTGGTTCTCCTTTTTCATCACCCCGACCCCAAAACTGACCATACCCCCTTCTCTTCCCATCCATTCTACCCATTTTATTCCCTTCTCCCCAGGGATCAAACTCAGGACCTTGTGCTTGCCAGGCAGGCATGGCACCACTGAGCTACCTCCCCGGCCCTCTTATTCTGCCTCTTATAGGAAAGGAAGGGAAGAAAAGGAACTAGAAGAGACCGGTGGGAGGGACGTTCCAGAATGATGTGTCTGCAGGCATGTGAGGAGAAAATCTGGGCTTCTTCCCAGGCCCTGCCCCGCCCTGCCCTCCCCTCGGCCCCTCCCGTTGGAGCGCAGAGCTCCCTGGGGAAGGTCTGAAGGCGATCCTTTCATATGTAAAGCCCCTACCTCTTTTGCTTGGGGTTGGAGGTTACAGGTTTGGCTTCTAGTCAATTGCTGAAAGCAAAGCCACCAAATGACCAAGTCACCAATTGGGCAGCTCACTGAAGGAGCACTGAATGAGTATGACTAACTCACTGAAGCCTACCAAACTGAACAATTTACACAACCTCCTGTGTGGTTGCCTTTAATTGCAGAGTTCATAGCAAATAGCTGTGGCTAAAATGACATGGCCAGTTTGCTAATGTTAAGGGCCTTCAGTTCCCTTCACCTCCCACCTTTTTTAGCTTCTTTCTGCCCTAGAATGGGCAGCCTGGAAAGACTCCATTTCCCTCAGCAGATACTCCTGACTATCCACTAGCTGTGGCAAGAGGGAAATGAGGCAGAGGTAGACTGACCTTAAATAATATTAGGGCCAAGTTGGGGATGTAGCTCAGTGTCGCCACATCTGCCTGGCAAGCACAAGGTCCTGAGTTAGATTCCCAGTACAAATATATATATATATATATATATATATATATATATCAGGACCTAAGTGAATGGTGGTCAATATTATTAGAGGACTGTTTAAAGCTGTTCCAATTATTCTTGGATCCATGGCCTATGGGAACTGGGTTTCCTTGTGCAGTAACCACCAGCCCCAGGGCCCGATGATGATGTTGAGAAGGGGAGAAAACGTTGCCTTTCATGAAAAAGGCTCACAGAAATGGAGTGAGTGTTTTCCAGACTCCTGATGAAAGTGTGAGAACAGAGCCCATTACCCTTTTTGACTCTTGGAAAGACCAGCATTGTAGTTATGAGCACGGGCTGTGGGCCAGACAATCTGGGTGTGTAGCTTGGTCTCCTTATTTTCACGTAGTAACAAGAGTCCCTCTGTTCATGACTCCAGGTCCCCACATGAAACTGTTGGTAGGATAGTTGTAGGATAGTTGGTAAAGGGAATATGTACAGAGGTGTGGCCAGAGTACAGGGAAGCAAAGCAGAGTTCAGCCTCCTGGCATTAGTTACAGTGCAGCCAGTGAGGGTCAAAGGGCAAGAATGCTTGCTCCTACCAGACTGAGATGTTGTGGGAGACAAGGGCATGGAGGGAAGCTGGAGCCTTCTCTAGACAGCCAGCCACAGGTGACCATGTGGGGGGAAAGCACCCAGTTCTCCTTCTCTCAGCCTGATCACCCTACTGCATGTAACCTCCTGGAAGCCAGAGGGCACTAGAGAGCCCGTTTGTGTGGTTTAGCAAGGCCAGCTTTCCAGGGCAGGGACAGGGAGAGATGAAGGGAGGGGTCTGGAAGGGCAAATGGAAGGTGCCCAGTGGCAGTCTCATAGAGCTGTGGTAATAGTTAAATGAAATGCAGCACAGTAAGCACCCCCAAATGGGGAGCTGTTATTTATAGAAAAATAAGAAATAGCTCCCTTTGGAGAGACATCTGCTATCGTGCAACACTCCCATGAAAGGACTGTCTGTAAACAATTTACAAGTGTGCTGGAAGTGAAGAATTTCTCAAAAGTGAAAAGACTTAAGAAGTAGCAGGGAAAGAAATGGAATCCAAGACTCAAGGGAAAAGATGTAAAACAGACTGAAAATGTGCAAAGACTCTTAGTTCTGTGATGGACATGTGTTCACCCCAGGGTTCATATTCCCAATAGATGCTGAAGGCATTTGGAAAATTTTAGCTATAATTTATGATAAAAAAACCTTGCTAGAACTAGAGAATTCAAATATTTTCTTTCTTTCTTTCTTTCTTTCTTTCTTTCTTTCTTTCTTTGTTTTTTAGACAGTGTCTCACTATGTAGTCCAGGCTGGCCTTGAATCCTCCTGCCTCAGCCTCCTGAGTGCTGGGATTACAGGCATTCACCACCATGCCTGGTTTCCACTGTTTTCTTGATGTGATAAACCTCAAACCCTAAACAAGCATCATCCTTATTGGTGTAAAGCAGAAAGCATGCCCACCAAGGTCAGATGTGAAGGAAGGATACTTATTATTTAGCTTCTAGTTAGCATTTTTCTAGAAATGTTACCAAAGCTAATACTCATAAGAGATATATATTTCAGGACAAGAGATAGTAAAAAATGATAGTTTTCCTCCCTCCCTTGTCCTTCCCTTTCTATTTTTCTTTCCCTCTCTCCCTCTCCTTCCTTCCTTCCTGTACTGGGGATTAAACCCAGTGCCTCTGCACTGAGCTGTATCCCCAGCCTTTTTTTTTTTTTTTTTGAGACAGGTCTTGCTAAATTGCTAACTTGTCCAGGCTAGGCTTGAACTTAAAAAAAATTACTAGCCATTTTAATTTAAATTAATACTATTTCTGGAGGACAAACACAATTGATAGAAAATATAAAAACTTTCACTGTACAAATTTTACCTAACATTTAAAAAAGCAAAATGTGTGCCTTATAGCTACAGAAGGAACTAGGTATGCACATGCTAGACTCGAACTTGTAATCTTCCTGCTTCAGCCTCCCAGAGTGCTGGGATTACAGGCATGCACCACCATTCTTGGCTAAAAATGATAGAATCTTACCTTGAAAACTCAAGAGGAAAAAACTGAAATACTGCTATATATTTTTATTTAAAAACATTCTTTTGATGCTGGGGATTGATCCCAGGGCCTCCTACATGCTAGGCAACTGTTTTGCTTCTTAATTCACTATTATTTTCTTCAGTTCTGGGGCTAGAATTCAGGGCCTCCTGCATTCTAGGCAAGTGCTGTACCACCGAGCCACACCTCCAGTCCCTTAATTCAGTACCTCTATATGTTTATTTATTTGTTTGCTTATTCATATATATATTTGTAGCACTGGGGGCTGAACTCAGGGAATGCTGAGCTACATCTTGAGCCCTTTTTAGTTTTCATTTAGAGACAGGGTTTCACTAAGTTGTCCAGATTGGCCTCAAACTTGTGATCCTTCTTCCTCAGCCTCCCTAGTAGCTGGAATTACAGGTGTGGGCCACCATACCTGGCGAGAATTCGCTATCTTTAAAGACCTTACCCAGAAATCAATATTTGGAATTCTAGTTGGAACTTCAAAGAAGTTAGAAATCATTCTATTACATTTTGTTTTAAACCTGCATGGGGGGGGGGGTCCTGGGGATCGAACTCGGGTCCTTATGCTTTTGGGGCAGGAAGCGGAACCACTGGGCTAAATCCCCGGCCCCCTGCATGGTTTTGAGTATGTAAAAAGCCTTGGTTTTCTAGCAAAGTAAATCTGAGCAGCCAAGTACAGAGCCTGCAGTGAGGTCTTACTTCTACCCCCAGCCTCCATGGCCTGTGTCTGACTTTGGGAGACAGTCTGAACCTGAGTACATCCACATGCACGTAAGCACACACGCAGAGTAACTTCTCAAGTTTCTTTATCCAGGCCAAAGAAAATCAATGAGACTAAAATGTCCAAAGGTCGAAGGGCAGTGATTATTGATGAGAATTCTCCGAGCAAGGTGACAACAAAGGATACAGAAGACAACAGGAATGTGACAGACATAGAAGACAATGGGACCATGACTGCAGTAGCTCTGACTATAGCTGAAGATGTTATTGATGTTGCTACTCTGTCTGTGGGAGGTAGTAACCCTATTTGCTTGCCTAAAGAATTGTCTCAGTATGTGACACCATACTACCAGGCAATTAACAAATTCACACCTTGTTTGTAGAAACTAAACACTGTGCCAGAAAAATCCAGTGGATCACTCATGGTGAATTCACAGCAGAAAAAGGCCGGAGACAAATTCAGGAGCTCATTTCGGTAAGTTAGCTGACCACTCCAGTTTGTTACATGAGAATGAGAAACAATGAAAAGGTTGTTTGGCCAAAAGTTTGAGGTAGCCAGATATGGTGGTGCACAGCTGTAATTCCAGCTTCTTGGGAGGCTGAGGCAGGAGGATCCCAAGTTGGAGACTAGCCTGGGGAACTTAGTGAGACTCTGTCTCAAAAATAAAAATTAAAAAGGGCTGGGGATGTAGCTTAGTGGTAGAGCACTTGCCTGACATGTGTGAGACCCTCGTATACTACAAAAAAAAAAGTTTGAGGTTCAAAGGTGACTTGAATAAAGAAACATTGTCTCTATCTAGGTTCCAAAATCAAGGTGGGATAATCTTTGCAGGCGAAAAGCATAATTGTGTTGCTCTGTGTTTGTATCACCTTACCCTTACATTTCCCTAGGAAAAAGGAATATTTCCAGTTAAGCAATTTGCTATGCTGATGAATTCAGTGTGGGCCTAGTGGCCTAAAGAGGAAGATGCTTCTCCAAAAGAGGAGTTCTTCACCAACTTGAGTATGCTTATGTTAGCAGAGGGGATGTGGATGGACCAAGTGTCTTTTTGTGTGTGTGGTGCTGGGGATAGAGCCCAGGTCCTTGATCATGCTAAGCATGTGCTCTACTACTAAGCATGGGCTCTACTACATCCCCATCCCCAGGATCAAGGTTCTGTTATCA